ACCATCATCACCACCACCACCACCACCATCATCATCATCACCACCACCACCATCACCATCACCACCACCATCATCATCATCACCATCATCATGAGCATCATCACCACCATCATCATCAGCATCACCACCATCACCATCATCATCAGAATCATCATCATCATCATCATCATCATCATCATCATCATCATCATCATCATCATCATCATCATCATAAGCATAATCACAACCCAACCGTCCAACGTGCCTCGGCCACGGCGGATCTTTTCTTTTCCTAGTGGCCGGCGCTCGGTTCTCGAGCGAAGTGCCTGGGGGTCGCACACCGCGCAGCTTGCCGGCTTTGAGGTAGCCGGCACACCTATACACACAAATATGGAAACCGCTGGGCCTCGCGCGCACAGGAGGCACGAGTGCGGAACGGCTGAGCATCATAGTCGCACGTAAGTGAATGAAAAGGAAAGGGAGGAAGAAGGGGGGAGAGGGGCGAGACAAAAGGCTGCAGAGGCACTTTCGTGAGGGTCAAAGGGTGCAAGCACTATCTACAACCCAACCGTCCAACGTGCCTCGGCCTCGGCGGATATTTTCTTTTCCTGGTGGCCGGCGCTCGGTTCTCGAGCGAAGTGCCTGGGCGGTCGCACGCCGCGCAGATTGCCGGCTTTGAGGTAGCCGGCACACCTATACACCAACACTCGCAGGACCTGCGCTTGAGACGGCCGCCCCTAGGCCGATCTCCAAGCCCCTCGCGCAGCACGCTCTGTAGCCTCCGGCTGAAGGTGTTCTTCAGGGCCCCCGCGGTGCAGGAGGGCGTCGCTGACGCCGCTGAGTGACCTCACCAAGGTCGCCGGCTTGGTGTAGATCCGACACGACTCCAGGGAGGCCCAGCGTCCACGTGCTTGCACATATTATATCTTCTGCTTGTGGACGACGGAATCGTGGGAAGGACCCGCGTGTCGCAGCCCGTGAGGGACCACGCGGAAGCCGAGCGACGCCGAGGCGGCTCAGTACTCCTTCTCGAGGTCGGCCAAACGCAGCGACCTGAACACGCGGTCGCCAGGCTGGAGGTTGTCCACCAGCAGCTCCAGCACCCTGCAGACCCACTGCCTGTCGTGAGCCCCAACCAGGACGCTGGCGTCGAAGTGGCGGTTCTTGGACGGCTTGGCGTCCTCCCCAGCTGGCGCCACGTTGATCGCCCAGCCTTGAGCCGCCGCTCCGGGCCGAGGTCGCCCGACAGCACCGGCCGTGAGGTCGAGGCCCTCGGACGGCCGAAGGTAGCAGTCGAAGCTGAGGATGCCGTGGGCGGCCACGAGGGCCATGCGCTGGCAGTTGTCCCCCACCGCCCGGCCCAGGAAGTAGTCCAGCATGAGTAGCACCAGTTCGATCGCGGGCGGGTCGCGGCAGTGCTCCGGCGACGACCTCGCGAAGGCCAGGAGCGACAGCCGCGTCTTCGGGAGCAGGTCGGGCGAGCGGCGAGGCCAGTCGTTGACGAACGAGACCCCGTGGTAAGCATACCTCGCCGCGGTCGCGGCCTCGCCCGCGCGGTAGAGGCCCTCGATGTAGTTCACCAACGCGAGGTCCCAGTTGGCGTCCTTCCGTGGCGGGCGGCCGACGGAGCGGACCACGTCGGCATAGCACCTCTCGTACTTCTTGCGGGTCGTAGGCGCGACTACCAGCTTGCGGAGGAACCCCGGCTCAGTGACGTCATGGCGGCGGGCCCGCTGCCCACGACGACGCTGCCGGCCGCTATCGGCAGTGCTGCTCCCGGATGCTAAGCTCGGTGCCGAGGTCGAGCCCATCCCGGTGCTGGTCGGCTCCCATCCGAGTCGAGCTGCGCGCGCCGCTGGTCCGTCGGGAGCGCCAAGCGCCGTCGCTTGCCACCTGGGCTAGCTGCCTGGAGGAGCGCGTCCTCCAGCGGGGCTCCAGGCCTGGTCGGCTGGCGCCACGCCGCGCCCGCGCTGGGGCGGCATCCCACAGCGCTGTTGCCACTGCACGGCAGAGGACAGAAGGGCTGGCCGCAGCCACCGAGGTCCGCCACCTCCAGCCCCCGTCGGGGTGATGCACCTGGCCCTGGCGCACGACGGCCCACCTGCGGCCAGGGCACCGTCGCGCGGCCGTCTCGAGGATCTCGATGTTGAGGGAGAGGGTAGTCGGCTTCCCCCCGGCGGCTGCGCAGGCGAACTGGTCGACCCGGTAGCGCGCGCACTTGACGCGCCTGAGCTGCTTCGCGAAGGGTTGCCTCTGCTCGACCTGGGAAGCCAACGGGCCCTCCACCACCATGTGCACACCACGACGAGCACAGACGTCCAGCTCCCAGACAGAGATGCGGGCGAGGGCCAGCCCGGCCGGCCCCGCGGCGCCCACGGGTCGGGCGCGGCTGGCGGCGCTCCAGCGGGTGCACGGCGTGCCGAGCGCGACGCCCCACGCCAGGCCGGAGTCGAGCCAGTCGAATGTCCACCAGGTCGGCGACGGCGAGGCCCAGCCCAGCGGCGCCGGCGGGAAGCCCCAAGCAGCCCGCAACCCGCCTGATGGAGTACTGCGGGTGGCGAGGGGGCCGTCGGTCCGCTGGCTCCCTCGGCTGGCGAGGGCGGCGGCCTCTGGCCGCAGGCAGCCGTCGCCCCAGCAGGTCTGGCTGACCCGCGGGCTGGGGGCCGCAGGGAGCGGCGGCGCGAGGCGCCGCTCCCGGCGCAGCCCCCTACGAGCCCTCGGCGGCCAACAAAGCCGCCCGCGGGCGCCCGGCGTCGAGCAGGCGGGCGCCGGCCCCGCGTCGGGCCTCTTTAGGCCGGCGGTGGGGCTGCCGGCACCCGTAGTGGCTCGGGTTGCGGTGCGCCTCGATGTGGCGCCGCGCCCAGCGGGCGTTGCTGGCCAACTGTCTGGCTCCAGCTCGCTGGGCCAACGCCAAGTGGCCCCGCGTGCGCGACCGCCCCCGCCCTGTGGCCAGCACCTCGGACATCATGTTGCGGAGCGACACCAGATCTGTGGAGTGGTGCCCAAAGTCGGAGCAGTGCTTATCCAGGCCCAGGAGAGGGAGCGGCCTCGGCCTCGAGGCTGAGGATCTTGTCGGACCGCCTCCACCTGCCCACTATGACGGCTTCCATCTCCTTGGGTCCCTCTAGGCGGCGCCGGGGGCAGAGACGCGACCCGCGTCGTCCACGAGCGGTGGGCTCTTGGGCACGGAGCGCGCCCGGTCGTCGGCGAAATCCCGTCGAAGATGCCCCCGGGCGCAGTCCGTGAAGTCACTGAGCACCACGTTCGGCCTGCATGCCGGCCCGCCTCGCAGCTCCCGATGACGGTCGAGCCCGCAGGAAGCGAGGCCGGGCCTGCGGAACCCCCAGCGCATGCAGTACCGAGCTGCGCCCCAAGCCTCGCGGGGCCCGACGCACCGATCCACCCCGTAGTCGTGCTCGGAGGCATTGGACCCGGGCGCCACCCCCGCGGTGCCCTGCCCGAGCTCGACCGCGCCCAGCGGGAGGAGCCCCTGGATGACGCGCAGCTCCTCCAAGGTCGCGGCGTCGAGCCTCCGCTCGCGGTCGGCCCCGTCGTAGATGACGCGGCAACCGGAGGAGAGGCAGGCCAGCACCTCTCACCGCGCCGAGAAGTGCTCGACAAGGTCCGCCAGCACGCTGCGCACCCGCGCGGGCGCCGGCGCGGGGGGGCGGCGCAGCTCGTCGAGCGCAAGCCACCGCCGCCCGCGGCACCGCCGCCGGAGCACCAGCATGCGCTTCTCGCCGCAGACTCCCTTGCCGACGAGCACGACGTCAGGTTGAGGCTCGAGCTCCACGTGGAGCGCGAGCCCGAGGCGCAGGAGCACGAGGGGGAAGGTGTCGAGGCGCAGGATGAGCTCGCGCCGGACCGCACCCAGCTTGGCGCCATGCTGGCCCCATTGAGGCTGGACCGGCTTGTCAAGCGTGGCCAGCACGGCACACGGCAGCACGATGAGGTAGTTGGGATCTTGGAAGTACCGGTGGCGTAGACCACGTCCAGGGCCTTCGGCGGAACGGAGCTCCGCATGAGGACCACGAGCTTCGAGGCATCGCAGTCCCCCTGGGCGGTGTAGTTCTCGTCCAGGTCGTAGATAGACTTACGCTGCAGCAGTTCGCCCAACACGCCCAGCGGGGGCTTCTCCGACGCGACGGGCGCAAGCACAAACTGCAAGGTTGCTCTGGCATCGTAGCATGACATCCCGTCTTGCACGTCTGGGGCGTCAGCACCAAAAACACGGCGAGGCTCCTCGGCATGAAGAACCCATCCTGACAGGCAGCAGACCGAAGCGTTGAGAGACGCCACAGCCCCTTCGACCAGCGACTCGCTTATGGTGCGCCAGCGCTGCTGCCGGGCAAGGTGGCTGGCGCCACCTCGACTCTCCGCCACCTGCCGAAGGCGAGGCGGCAGCGGAAACGGCCCGCCCCCGGCGACCATGAAGACGCCGCCCAGGGCGAGCACCAAAATGCCCCAGTGGTCGAGGCTAGCCCTTGTCCTTGTCCTTCGGCCCCCCCCTGTCGTTGGGGCGGTTGCCGCGTCGTTTGTCCTCCTCCTGGTACAGGCGCTGCTGCTTCATCGTGAAGGCCGCCGACTTCTGCTCCTCCGCCGTCCACCGCGCGAACTCCCCAGACAGCACGCCGCCTGAGGAATCCAAGGTCGACATCGCCATCAGGTCGGTCCCTCGGAAATCGGGGTTCTTGGGGTTGCGCTTCGTCGCCTGATGTATCTGGAGGATAAGCCGACCGAGCAACTCCGCTGACGATAGCTGGCCCAGGTTCAGCTGGTCGAAGCTCAGCATGTGGTGAGGCACCGCGATCAGGTCCCTGTGCTTGAGCGCGACTGGGGAGTCTGGGTTCACCCCCGATGCCCGCACCCAGAAGTCGTGAAACCCCGCGAGCTCCTCCTCGGCAGCCCTGGCCGCCAGCAGCACCTCGCGGATCGCTGAGGGCGCGGTCGCTGGGAAGGGCCAGTCCGCCGGCGCCTTGCCCGTCTCGAAGAACTGCACAAGCGCCAGCCCCTCGCGCATGGAGAGGTACCTCGCTCTGCCCACCTCGCGGTGGACTGAAAGAACTCGGGGGTCTCGCCCAAGGCCAGACCGCTTCTCCTCCCGCCACTCGTCCAAGTCCGGGTCGCCGACTTTCTCCACGAAGGTCCAGAACGTCTCTCCGCCCTCCTCGACCTCCGCCAGACCGGCGGCGCCCTTCGCCTGGAGCCCCAGCGGGTTCCTGGTGATGTCCGGCGGCACCGTCTGCCCGAACTTCTCGTACGCCGTGTCCGCGAAGCGCCAGTCCGCCGCTAGCGCCCCAGCCGCCGGAGCCGCCCCCACTCCTGCTGGGGCGGCGCCCAGGACGTTGCCCAGCGCGTCCGCCTCCAGCCTCACCGTGGTGAGCTCGTCCTCCGTCAGCGCGTCGGCGGCGTACAGGTTCCCTCGCACTCGGGCTGGCGCGGGGGCTCACCTCGGGATTGGCACCACGATGTGGTCCGCTAGGTTCACCACTACCACGTCCAGGTCTGGCGTCCAGCCGTAGCACACGTAAGTGCTGCCTGAAGTTGGCATCGTCCTCGAAGTTGATCGCCACCTGCGGTTCGGGGATGTCCAGGGAGAGGCGTGCCGCCGCAGCCGCCATACCTCCTCAGCAGCTCGTCTAGCGGCGGCGCGACCTCCACGCCAACGCCTCCCCTCCAGAGTCCACGTCCCGCCCCGACGAGGCAGACGAGCGCGGCGAGCGCGGCGCCCCAGCGGGAGCTCCGACGCGGGAGCCGCGGCTGGCCGGCGCCTCCTCCAGCGCCGCGAGGCCGGGGCGTGGCCCCGGCTGCAGGGAGCTCCTCCGGCAGCCCCGCGTCCAGGCAGCGCCGGCGGCGAAACCCACCAAGGCCACGAGCCCGCTGCCCAAGGTGGCCGAGAGCGCGAGCCCCGGCCGCTCCAGCCCGGCCTCGCGCGCCGGGCACTCCGCGCCCCTGCAGTCGCAGATGACCGCGGGGCAGGCCGGCGTCGTCGCCGGCTCGGGGCAGGCCGCACAGGTGAGCCGTGGCTCGCAGCGGCAGTCGGGGCAGGGTGGCGCGGCCGGCCGCACGACCCAGCCCCTATAGCAGAAGCGGCCAGCTGATGGGCGAAGCTGGCAGCGGAGGACAGAATCTCGTGAACCATCCACTGGATGGAAGGACTCGAGACAAAAGGCTGCAGAGGCACTTTCGTGAGGGTTAAAGGGTGCGAGCACTGTCTATAATCATAATCAGCATCGGACTCACCATCATAAGCAGCATCATCAGCATCATCAGCATCATCATCATAATCATCATCAGTATCATCATTATCCTCATCATCATCCTTATCCTTAGCATCCTCATCTTCATCCTTATCCTGATCATCCTCATCCTCCTCCTCATCATCATCCTTATCATCCTTATCATCCTTATCATCATCATCCTCATCATCATAAGCATCATCAGCATCATCATCACCATCACCATCATCATCATCATCATCATCATCATCATCATCATCATCATCATCATCATACTCATCATAATCATAATCATCATCATAATCAGCATCATCAGCATCATCATCATAATCATCATCAGTATCATCCTCATCCTCATCATCATATCCTTAGCATCCTCATCCTCATCCTTATCCTTATCCTTATCATCCTCATCCTCATCCTCATCATCCTTATCATCCTTATTATCCATGTCATCCTTCTCCTCCTCATCATCATCATCATAAGCATCATCATCATCACCATCATCATAATCATCATCATAATCATAATCAGCATGATCATCAGCATCATCATCATAATCATCATCAGTATCATCATCATCCTCATCATCATCCTTATCCTTAGCATCCTCATCCTCATTATCATCCTCATCCTTATCCTTATCATCCTCATCCTCCTATCCTCCTCCTCATCATCATCCTTATCATCCGTATCATCCTTATCATCCTTATCATCATCCTCCTCATCATCATCGTAAGCATCATAAGCATCATCATCAGCAGCAGCATCAGCATCATCAGCATCATCATCATCATCATCCTCATCCTCATCATCATCGTCATCATCGTCATCATCGTCATCATCGTCATCCTCGTTATCCTCGTTATCCTCTTTCTCCTCCTCCTCCTCCTCCTCCTCCTCGTCCTCCTCCCCCCCTGCTAATTCCCCCTCCGCCACCACTCTCCGTCGCCCTCCGTCCTCCCAGCAGGGCGGCGACTGCCATGAGCAGCTCCCGCCCACGGACGCTCCCACGGCGGCGAGCGAGGGGGGCAGGTGAGAAGGAGAAGGCCTTCTCGGAGGGCGGCGGGACTTCTCACTCAGAAGCCCTCGCGCCTTCTGAGAAGTTCTCGGTGTCTTCGGGGAAGGCCTAGGGCCTAAAACACCTCTCACAAGGCCAGGAGACTTCCGAGCCTTCCAAGAAGGCCTTCCCCTTCTCACGTCCCCCCTGGCAGGCGGCACCCGCGGAAGGTCCCACGGGCAGGCACACACGTTGAAAGGATAATGTTCGAAGGAGTCAAGGGGCAAACCTTTCGTGAACCCTGAGCTCCACATGGTGCCCCAGGGGTCTCTGGGCCCATCTGGGGGTCAAGAACCTCTCGTGGCGCAGCCGCTGCAAAGGCCGACTTCTCACTCGGCGCGCCCTCTGTGCCGCCACGCGGCGGCAGCTGCTGCAGGCGGCTCCAGGAAAGCCCACCCCCTCTGCAGCATCGACGACCTGCTCCCGAACCGCGACGTGCTCTGCGCGCAGGCTCGCTCGCAGCCGCCGGCCACACTCGCCGGGCCTCGTAGACTACACGGCGGCGCACGCGCGCCCTGTCGAAGCTCACGGCCAGCTCCACCCCAAAGATCCGATGTCGTGATTTTTTTCACTGCGGGGTCCAGGGAAGTCCCGACCCTTTCCCCAGGGCCGATTTTTCATTCTGAATCGTTTCTTGACGGTCCCGAGGCCCGGCGAGGGCCTCTAGAGGCCGAAAATTGCCAAAAATCTCCGTCTTGATTTTTTCAATGCGTTGGATCTCTGGGACCGCGTCCCCCACCAGCGGCGACAAAGGCCGGCGCGGCGGCCGCGCCGGCGGCCGCCACGCCGCGACCGCCTCGGCGCCGCTGGCCGGCGGCAGCCCGCGCAGCTGCAGCGCCCGCCGCCGTGGGCGGCGCCCGCCCTGCACCTCGGCGGCGCCCTGCAGAGCGACGCGTGCAGGGCGCCGCCCCGCGGCGGCTGGCCGCGGGCGGCTCGCCAGGGCGGCGGTTCCCGCCGAGCGGCGGCTGCCGCGGCGGGCGGCTGCCGCGGCGGGCTGAGGCTGCCGCCGCGCAGCTCGGTGCGCGTGGCCCCCGCCAGGCGCGGGGCCTCGCGCGGGCAGCCCCGAGGGCGGCGGGCGCCTCGCGCAGGACGCACGCGACGCGGCCGCCTCCCGGAGGCGGCGGCCGCCACAGGTGATGAGGGTCGGGGGCGCGCAGGCATGGATCGGGGGAGGTGCCCTCCCCAAAATGCGGCCGGTGCCGCCTCGTTCGGCGGCGGGAATCTGCGGTTTCCCATGGAAGCGGGGCCCGTCGCCAATCCACGCCCCCTCGATCCATGTTTGCGATCGCCCGAAAGAGGGGCAACGTCGGGGGGGACCAGCTCAGGGGGGGAAGCATCGAGCTTGAATCGGCGGTGCATCGCCGATGATCGGCGGTGCCCCCGATGGCGACTCCGCACGTTCCTGGGCGGGGCGGGGCTGGCTGTCGGGCCCCTATCGGCGATGAAGGGGCGATTGGGTGTCGATGCATCCCCCCTGAGCCTATCCCCCTCTCTATCGTTGCTCTTGCGGTGAGCTCCCAAAAGGGAGGGTTGCCACGTGCACCCCTTCCGGTGGCTCCCACGGCGGCGCCCTGCACAGATGGGCCAGCACGGAGCCCCACGCGGCAGCGGCAACTGCAAGCGGATGTCGCCACGTGCTCCTCGGAGGCGGCGGCCCCTTGCAACCCCCACCGCAGCTCCCATTATCTAGCTCTCATGGGGGCGGCCTTCTCGGCGGCGGCTACCACGATGACGGCTAGTACCTGACGCGGCTCTCACAGAAGCGTCCGCACAAGGAAGACCACAGGCCGCTATCGCAGGCGGCTCCAATGGCTGGCAATTGCCACTTCAACGCCAACCAACTTCGCTTAGTGAATGAATGCGCTCAGTAATAAAAGAAACGTCACGTCCGAGCGGTTACATTGGTGCTACTCAGGAGCATCGTCATTATCATGATCGAAGTCATGACCACGATGACAAACTTTATCCCATTATCACGGTCGCCGCTATCGTCATCAACACTCTTCCTCATCATCACCAGTATTGTCATTGCCGTCGTCATCGCCGAACCCTTCACCATCGTCATCGTCATCGCCATCACCATCAAGATTTCGTCATCAACACCGATCGCCATGAACAACATCGCGGTCGTTGCCGCAGTCGCTTACTTCCACCAGTACTATCGTCACCGACACCATCAACAGCATCATCATAGCACAGAACATCATCAACGCCATGGTGCAATCGTCATCGTTGTCACTGCTTAGTGCTTCCGTCGCCATCCCCGTCGTTCTCCAGCAATGTACTCCTCCTCATCATGACCACCATCATCAACATCACCATCGCCACCATTATCATCACCATCACCATCACCAGCATCATCAGCAGCAGCATCATCATCAGCACCATGATCGACATCAACAACATCATGATCCTCATCCTCATCCTCATCCACATCAGGATCATCATCAGGATCATCATCATCATCATCATCATCATCATCATCATCATCATCATCATCATCATCATCATCATCATCATCATCATCATCATCATCATCATCATCGTCATCTTCCGCATCATCATAACCATCACCATCGTCCTCATGGTCAGCACAACCATCACCATTATCGTCATCGTCATCAGTCCTTGACAAGGGCCTCTATCGCATGAGCGTCTGCTTGGGACTCGCTGTTCACCTCATTGTCCTGGCGCTCCGTGAATGGCCGGAGCAGCTTGTCGCCTCGGTCGCCCCCTCCGAGTGCCGCGGCGTCCAGGGAGCGCCCCAGTCCGTCGGGCAGGGGCCTCGTTCCTCTCCCTCTCTCTCTCTCTCTCTCTCTCTCTCTCTTTCCCTCCCGCTCCTCCGTCCCCCCACAGCTCCCGAAGGATGTTCCCGCTGCTCCTGAAGCATGCTCCTCCTCCTCCTCCTTTTCCATCCCGGCCTCCCCCGTTTCGTCTTGGCCCTCGTCCTCGAAGTCCTCCTGCCCGTTCTCGTCGGTCACGCGGGGCCTCGCCCTTCGTTTGGACAGGCTGTCTGCCCTCGGATCCACATCTGAATGTTGGACAAATGGGCGAATGGACAACCTGTAGGCGCTCAGCCTGGAGCGCCGAAACACGTCCCGAATCATCCTTCGCTTGCGGCCAACGATTCTTGGGCGGAGGCCGAATGGAACAGACTGGAGCGTCTGGGCATCGAGGGGCAGCCGCGCCCACCGCAGCTGAACATCAATCCTTGCGCTGCGCTCTTGAAGCCAAGAGAGGGCGTGGATGACTCTGCGCCCGAACAGGGGGCGATGGAAGGCAAGACTAATTTTAGACCTCCGGAGAAGACGCGTGAATGAACGGTTTCCTGAAGTTGGGGTCGCTTGCGGAACATTGGATATGGCTGTGTCGCGCATCGGCACGGCAGCTTAATGTTCGCCATCGACCTCCAGGATTGCTTTTCCAACTGGAGGGTCGATCCAGTCGACGCCGACCTCCTGGGTTTCTATTGTCCAACACGCCGAACATTTGGGCGATATGAATTTCTCCCCTTCGGACTCGCCCCAGCACCAGGAATTAATGACACCAGCATCCAAGAACTTCTCCGGCTTCTACCTTTGTCATGCGATGTTGACCTTTCTTGATTTCGTGGACGATCTGTCCCCGCCTTGAAGCAGCAGTGCGACTGTTTGCTGGAATCGGCGTGCCTGCCTGTCAGCAGCAAGCCGACAGGCATCCGCCCTCCCAGCGCGCGCCAGTGCTGGATCGGATGGATATTCGATTCAGTGAATGACGTGGTTACCCCGTCCCCGGAGAAATGCAACAAAACGTGCGCGGCTATTTCGGAAGTTGTTCGGGAGGACGATGCCCGCGAGCATCATGGCAAATATTTATCTTCTGGCCTCGCATCTTGGCGAACTACATCCTCGGGCCTGGCGACGGCTGACCCTGCGCGGGCAGACCTCAACGCGGCAGGCGTTTATGCCCTCTGGAGCCGCTCTCCCCAAGCTGACCCACTGGTGGAACTTTCTGGTCTCAATCGGAAAGACCTCGCGTTGCGTCTCAACGCCCTGGCACAGCCGCCAAGACGTGCCCTGCGCAACCTGACTGGGCAATTGAGCAGTTGGGGTTACAAATCGCCCGAAAACGCCCGGCGGTCGCAGCTTGCCCAGGCCGGATCCGCCCGCGCAGTTGAGACGGACGCTTCGGGGCAGACAGGCTGTTCTTACCACCTGTGTCACTCAGGCAAATCAGTCCCAGGTGCGCGGCCCGCCACATTGGCTTCAGACGAAGGCGTTTCGGTGGAGAAATTGGATATCAACTTCAAAGAGTTGTGGGTAATTGTCAAGCGCCTCCAAGATATGCCGGCGGAGTTTGAAGTGTGGCGCGTGCTGTTCCGCACTGATGATACCTGTGCTGTTCATCTAGTACACGAACGTGAGATACGGTGCCATGCCTACACTAGGACAGCTCGCTTCGAAACTTGAGCTGGCCGAAGGCAGGCCTCATGCTGGGCGTTGGCTGCGCGCGTCAGGTGGCGCGGCCAACAGAGCGGCCGATCTCGGTTCCCGCGACGTCCAGTTTTCCGCGCGCTGGAATCCTGATCGCTGCCGCACCGCTCGCGTGCGAGACGCAGTTTTTCGGGGCATCCTCGCGCGCGCTGGCGCGTGCTCCAGTCTGGACTTATTCGCTGGCCGTGCAGGTCTCTCAGCGAAAGCTCCAGTTAGGCGCCCTCCAGAGTGCTCCGCTTTCGAAGCGCGGCTGACAGAGGAGACTGCGCGGGCCCGCCCCCCCGGAGAGCAAGCCGCCCAAAGCAAAGTTCGAGTTTTTAAATGCAGCTCTACAGGCGCCCCACGGTCCCAATATTGTTGCTTTCTGACCAGAAGACCACGGCGCTCCATGGTTCCGCCCACGCCTGCCCCAGGCGCGGCACCGGGTGCGATCTGGGCCAGCAGGCTCTGACTTGTCGAGATTCCACTCGGGCCCTGCGTTCTGCGCTGGCCCCAGAACTGACTTGCCGCACGTGCTTCTGCAAAGCTGGGGGCCGAATCGGCGCGAGCGGAAGCGTGAGGAACAATCGGATCCACTGCTACTGAATCAGTTCTTCCATGGCGATATTGCATGTCGAGGCCGCCCCCTGCCCGCTAGCTTCGCCTGGCTTGCCGCAGCCATGTTAGGTTTCATTTCAGCTGACTAACAACAAACGCCCCGCTTCGCGCTTGCGTTCCCGCGGATTTTGCTGCCGCCCGCCATGGCCGAAGAAGCTGCGCAAGCAGCTGTCGCAGCGGCCCCCCAGCCGGGCGGCGCCATCGCGATGGCGATCAGCGCTGAGATCACGAAGACCTTCTAGCAAGGTGAGCAGGGCGATCTTTCCATCGCTGCTGGCGACAGCGCGGCCGCCACTGCGCAGTCGGTGCCGGCCGTGGTTGCCGCCTTGAAAGATCCGGCCTCGGAGCTGGCGAAATGGGGGCAGGCGGGGCGCGACCGGCGGGCAGACGCCGCCTTCTCACACAGAGCTCGTCTGCGTCAGCTCTCCGTGGCGCGGCGGGGGGTCGCCTGGCGCGATCTCGTCGAAGGCGCAGGCCGCCGCGCGTCCACCTTGAAGGCAGCCGAAAAATTCCGCCCCTGCATACATGCGGGCGCCGTCCGCCGCCAGCCTGGACAATGCCGAGCTCGCCGAGCTCGAGCGGGCATCCACGGCGCGTTATGCGGCAAAGTGGCGGCGGGGCAGCTCATGCCTTCCGCGAGAGGGCGGCTCTTGAGACCGTCTGAAAAACAACCTGGCGGAGAAGGCAGATTCGCCGCTGGACAACGTGAAAGCCCTCGCCCGGTCACTTCTTGTCCTGATCAACCTGACGGAGCGCCGCTGCGCGGTTGCGCAATCGGCTAAGCGCGCTGGGCCAGAGGGCAACGGCCCAAGAGACCGCCCTCCTGCCTTTGATGCACCACGCCATCAAGCAATACAAGAAGCGCACTACCAAATCCAGCGCGCCAATAACCCTTGAATGCGAGGTGCTTCTGCGAGACTTCACTCAGGACCTCATCTTGGGCGAGGCGGCGTCGGCCTCGAGCTCGTCTACCAAGCGGCCCTCTGGGGCGGCGTCGTCGGGCAACCAGGATTTCGGAGAGGAGCTCAAGCCAGCAGCAAAAGCTCAGCGACAGAGTCCTTCTGCCGCGGCTGCGGCCACTTCCGCGGGCGGCGGCCCCGCGGCAGAGCCGGCGGACAAGAAGAAGTTGGTCCCCCTCCTCCAGGCGTTGACCGCGATCGCTCGCAGCACCCCGCCGAAACAGATCCAGGCCTGGGTCGACAAGACCAACCTCGTGGATGCCAACCACCGCGCTGCCATGGCGACGATCTTCAGCAACCGCGCACGCACGAATTGTCTCATGAGCGGCAAGAGCCTCGTGAAGCACAGCCTCAAGCAGCGCCGCGTCATGAAGAACCATTGCGCTCTGCCCTGCGCCAAATGCACGAGCGCCGGAAGAACGGAGAACGTTGTGCACTGGATGGCAGATTGCAAGTTCGAGCTTCGCTGCGCCAGCCCCCGTGGCCTGAGAGCCGCAACCCTCCTGCGGGCGCCCGATTTTTTCGATTAGCCGTCTCGCTCATTTAACATATTGTGAAATACAGCTCTATATGCACATATGCACTGACTCAGCACTGCGACCAGCGCACGGATGCACTTCATACCGATTCCATGCAAAGCATGTGCTGCCTCGGTGGGGTGCTTGCTCATCCAGGATACCGTCGTTCTGTGACTGCGCAAGCGGTCGTTTCTCCCGTGGCCGCGAAGGCTCAAGCATGGGCGACTACGCCCACAGAAACGATTCCACGGATACCGTCGGTGACTGCCCTGCTCCCGGCGCGGATCCGCCCTCCGCGCCCGTGCCTCCCGTGAATGCAGCTGATTTGCATCGGGCAAGCAACTCTGCAGAGGGGCCCGCGCCAGAGCCCGCTGCGCGGCCGCTGTCGGCGGCGCCCTCGCGACTGGCTCGGGCTAGCGGAAGTGGTGGCAACTGCCCCCAAGGCCTACTGGCGTTCATAACCAGCAGCAGAGCGGCGCAGGGCGGGCCTCTCGCGCCACCATGCAGTTTCGGCGATCGGAGGCTACAGGGCCCGCAGCTCGAATTGCGGTTCCTGGCGAAGGATTGCTTTCCTACGACGCTGGAGGCGCGCAGGGCAGCAGCGGCGTGCATCCGCGAGTGCATGGAAGCCGCCTGGGGGCAGAGCACGAGATCTAGGTGCGATGCCTCGTTGCGCAGCGTAGTAAGCTCGAGGGAGACAGACGCGCAGACCCAGCTCCTGCCGTGCGACTTGGAGGAGAAGGTGATGTTGTTGCTTTCCATGCTGGTTCGTCAGCCTTGGGGATCGTTATCCGCGGCCAAGGCCGCTGTCAGGGCTTGGCGTATTAAGCGCGATTTGTTGCCACCTTTCGACTCTGCCTCGACGCCTCGGGCGTGGCACTTTTGGCGGGGGTTGAAAAAGCTGGCTGATCATTCGCTGCGCCGTGCCATGCGTGCCACTACCTCGGAGGAATTGGTGAAGGTACTGAGCGCTCGCATCGCGCAGGGCTCTCCCGCTGGTACTCGGGGCGCTGCTATGGCCGCCCTCGCTTTCTTCGGCATTAGGCGGTTCGCTGAAGTTCAAGCGTTGCGGCTTGGAGACGTTGAGGACCAAGGCGCGGCCATCCAGTGCAGGATTCGGCGTCAGAAGAACGATCCCTTCGGCGAGGGCTCGCTCGTCCGGATTCCAAAATTGCC